ACCACTTTTGTGTGGTGTAAACAAAATGGTAGGAGGTAAACCTTTGTGTCCGGGTGGCCTTAGACCCATATGTTCAGAGTCCAGGATGATGGGGCAAATCCTGGTGGTTACGTAAGACAAGGGAGTTCAGATGTCCGGTTCTCATCAGGCCATGCAGTGTCAGTGCTGAGGACCTTTAGAAACCACCTGCTGTCACGGTTTCTAAGCCGGAGTGGGCTGCGGGGGACTTGTGAGCCGCATGTGCAGAGAAGTATGTGCATGTTCCCAGTGGAGAGGATCAGTGGCCCCGCAGAGGTTAGGAATTTGTTTGTGTAGAGGAAAAAGCATGACTTTAGGGTCAAGTTGGTGTCCCCGTCTTGGGATACACCTTGGGGAAACCTCTTAAGTCTCCAGCCTCAGTTTCCTCATGATCATTTTGTATTGCGATGTTCCGGTGAGCTACAGGATGTGAAAGCCTTTCTGAAACACTAAATCAGTGCTGTGTTGCCAGCTCTTCTTCCCAAAGTTTGGGTGGATAAATACCAGGACTTCTGTTTCCTGACAGTCGTGCAATCCAGCTTCTACTACCGTGTCCTGTGTATCCTGTCCTGTGTCCTGTCCTGTGCACAGGGCTACTTAAAGGCATCCTTCACAATGGTTCTTTGCGCTGGATGTGTGCCACGTTCCCCCAACCATTGCTGTGTTCTCTGTCGTTCTGTGGTTTTAGACTCCAGCTCTTTGGGAAATTCAAAGGACCCAACTGAACAAACACACTTTTCCTAAGTGCTGGGAGGAAGGGTGTGCAGGTGTAGCTGTTGGGGAAGGGAGAAGCCAGCTGCCAATAGTCTTGTGTGTTCTCAACTGAGAAATACTGGCTGCTTAAGCCTTTAATCCGATTGAATCATATTCTTAGCAAATAGCAGCATTATTACTTGCCTCGGCTGTAAACTTCCTGAGAGGGTGATGTGGAAATTTGCTTTTGAAAGAATTTAATAAAAAAATATTCCAACTAGAACACCGTTGGAATAAGAAGTACAGTCTGTCTGGGTTTTAATCATCTGTTGGCAAGTGTGGGTCTTGATTCTTCTTAGAGACCTGTTGGGGGCTGTCTTAAAGCGTGGTGTTAATGTTCACCTGCAGCATTGAAGGGCTATTTATTGTGGCTAATATTCTCTGAATGAGGTCTGCCTGCATTTCTAAATACGCGAAGTGCCTTTTCCTTAATAGCAGTTACATAGAAGGAAGAAGATTTAGAATGTTTTGTATTCATGTTTAAGAGTCATTCTTCACGTGGATCTAAAAGGATTGTCTTAGTTCTTTATTGGATGGGCTCTAGTTTTCCTGTGGACAGCATTAACCAGTTGATTAAGTGAAGCTGGTTTTCAGCTTGTCTGTCACCTGGCTGCGAGCTGAGAGGCATGAATTAAACTGTTGTACCTTGTCATTATCACCCACTAAAGGTAAGAATTTAGCTGGGTTTCAACCCTTAGCATTACAGATTAGTATCTAAGAAAGTGTTCTTGCAACGGTGCAAGATTACCAAATCAGTAATTTTCTGAAGTGTTTTTTTTTTCTTCAAGTTTCTTTCCTAGACTTATCTCTAGAAATAGACATTTTTCTTTCTTCGTCTAATGCTGTCTACAGCTTGGCTCCTGCTGATGCTTAAAATAGAAAAAAAAAATAATCACCAGTTTATGACTGTATTTGTTTATGGGGGGATTATTTAACGTTCCCCTCCAAGGACTGGATTCTGTCGAACAGCCCCTGCAGATTCACAGGATCAGGGCTGTATGGAAATGACTTCAGGGACCCTGGGGAGAGAAAAGCCAAGGGCAGGGGTGTGTCTGCGAGGGGTGGGAGATTCCTTTCCGGACCCAGGGGCGCAGTGGGCGTGAAAAAGGCTGCCAGGGGGCGTGACTTGAGGGGCAGGCAGGTCCGCACAGGGCGCAGTCGGGTTGCTTAGCGTTGGCTGGCTGGCTGTGCTGTGTATGGAATCTGGCCGCCTGCTGCCAGCGGGCCCGACTCCCATCTGTCTGCTCGTCCTCACGGTCTCCGTGAGTGCGGGCCTTGCTCAGGGAGCCCTCACTTCAGCACGCCCCGACACCGCCGGCTCAGTGTCGTATGTCCCCCACCAGCTGGCTCCGCCG